AATGTTTTAGATACTTACAGCGCAGAACATCCGAGCAGAGCTTGAAAAGATATTCATCTGAGGGAGGTTTGCCCTGAAACACAAATTACACAGGCACTCAGCTAACTCATCCTATGACTTACTATCCCCGCCGTTACAACATATCCTCATCGCTCTGCTGTGTATGTTCATGTTCACACACACACACACACACACACACACACACACAGACTGAAAACAACACCAGCCTTACTCTCACACACAGGCCGGCCTTCAGGCTATCGCAGGAAGTGGTTGACTTACAGGTTTCCCTGGATATCCCGGCTGACCCGGTTGGCCCGGTAACCCATCCTGACCAGGAAATCCTCTGGGACCAGCAGCCCCCATGTGGCCCATTTCACCCTTCTTTCCTTCTGGCCCCCTGGGGCCCATATCACCCATCACTCCCTTCTGTAGCAGCAGGAGGGACGACAGTCACCCTTTAAAAATAATGAAGCATCCTCCATCTCCTTCAAAACATTGTCAGTAACTGGAGCAGGAGAGTTCCAGATCACATCAGAAAATCCACCCGCAATCATTATCTCGAATAAGAAGATTTAAACTTTTAAAGAAAATATCTCCTTACATTTGCATAAACAGAAAATAAACCTAAGAGATCATTAATCCACACTCAAATAAAGCTTTTTCTATTTTAAATAATTACATGTCCAAGACATACAAATGGCATCAAATATAAGAGCTGGCATCTCAATAGATTTCTATTCTGCAGAAAGTACAGTAAGTTTTTGATATTTCTGATGTGTGCAGAAGGCGTGCACTTGTGATGTGCATTTTTCCCCAGGGTGCCAGATTTCCCCAAACCTAAGGTATTGGGTCTGGAAGTCTTCCTGAGCAGCTATGCAGGCTTGACAGGGCTTCTTATTGCACTGCAGAATAAGACAGAATGGATTATATCTAATACCGCAAAGTCTAATTCGACAAACCTCTCCTTTCCTTCCCCAGGGTCCCACTTCACCCTGACGGAAAGAGAACAAGAAGGGTAAAGAGGAAAAGAGAGGAAGGAGACGGTTAGAAACTTCTGCAACATATCAAAGGCTGAGACAGAATGTCAAAGGCGCTGCTCTGCATTGCTCTTCAGTCAAAACCGCTGTCTTACAAGCGGAAGGCATTTGCTGAAGTGCCTTTCCTTTTTTGTTACATGTTGTAACACACCCAAAAGTGCCTCTACGGAAATTTTTTTGTCTTCAAAACATGATCGAAACACCAATTCTGTGAGGCTTTGTTGCACAATCAAGTAGTAGGAAAGAGATGTTTGGAGAACACAGGGCTTGCTCACTCACTTCTCTTCCTACTTCCTCTTTTCCCTCCTGATCTAACAAAAGCTTTTGGTCATTCCAGGACTGAATGAAGGAAAGAATGCAGCCTAAGAGAGAATTCTCCCTCTGGGATACACAGGTTAAGAGAATCATGTTCTTTAGGTGGGCTGAAACAACAGCAAATCTCCCGCAGCAGAGCGGCGGCAGCCACACGTGAACACCTCATTACTCCCCACTGCAAGACGAGTGGAGTGAGGAAACTGTTTAAGTGGAGCTCACCCCCCCTCTCCTCTCCCGGAGCACAGTTATTTTACTCAGCTGGAATCGGGAAGTTTGTCTGGGGACAGCAATTTGTCACATTCATTTCAGCAGTGGCACATTTGTGATTCACTGCTGATGCATTTTGCCTTGAGCGAGTGTCAGACGGATGCTCGGCTGCACTCTGCATGGAGAGGTTACCGTGTGAACATTAGGCTGCGCACTGAGCGCTTCGGCTGTTTTATCTGTCGACAAGAGCCACACACAAGCCTCACAACACTGGTGATGCACGAGTGCCTCTCGTTGGCACACAAAAACACAACCCTGGCTATGTTTATTGTTCAAGTGTACAAGTCTCCATCTGAGGATTTGAAAATCAATACTTCATTATCTTCTGTTTGTCCATCTATTTTCTAGACCAACCTAATCCAGCTCCGGGGCACCAGGCCTGGAGCCTATCGCAGATCCCACCGGGTCAAAGGCTGAGTTTTCACTACGAACAAGTCAATACCAAATGATAAGTTCTTAAACGCAACTATATCAGAACTGTATCAATTTTAGTTTTTACTGTGGACAAACATGTTACATTGTAAATGATCTGTGCAGCTTCAGCAAATGTTTCCACGTTTCAGCTGACATGAGCTGAGCTTTATGTCAAGTGTGTGATGTGAACATAACACCAAGTAAATCAGGCCACATAGAGGTGGGTCACTTCTGCTGACCTGAGCATGTCAACTAAACAGATAAACTTTAAGAAAGTTACTCACCCCCCTGTTTCAGAATCCCTGATGTAAGTTCACTTTCACACTATACTTTAAGGTTAAATTCTTCTCATAATTTTTCTTTTTGATACTGACATTCATCTTGTAGAACACACTGTAAAGTCACTTAGAGATAAGGGTTATGATAAAAAAAATGTTTGAAATTAGTTTTTTACTATCATTTCATGATGTCCAATCATAGGATTGTTGCTGATAGGGTTTGGGGTAGCTGGGAAACTACAAATAAACATGAGATGATGTCATGACCACCGCTCAGTCTTTTGGTGCGTTGTCAAATCTGATCAAACATCCTGCAAAAAAAATAAAAAATTAAAACCCCTGAAGCCAGTTTCTTTTTTGTTTTTAGCGGAAGCTCATTCGATGAGATGTACTTAGATAACTGTGAGGACATCCAGTTCATGTAATATCACACACACACATAGACTGAGAGGAACATCAAAGATTAGGAGACAAAAGCTTGACTGCCCCCCAGTGGAAGCACGAGTAGCCCACACTCACAGGTGCACCGGGAATCCCCTGATCTCCATCTGCGCCCCGCTCCCCCTGCAAAAAGAAACATCATGACTGACTGCAGGCGGTTGTGAGTCTGTTTACACGTGCTGGTCCACCTGCATGCATTATGTGTGTGTGGGTGTGTGCATGTGTGTCAGAGCCAGCAAATGTGTGCACGTGTGTGAGTGCATGCTTCGTGTGTGTGCATATGTGCAGAGAAAAGGTCATAATTACCTGTAGCAGCCAATAAGAGAAACCCAGAGAGAGGGTAGATAGGAATTGGCTTGCAGTGACCTTTTACAAACCAGACATTTTATCTGGTGTGTGAGGCTTCCCAGCCCCATCCTGCAGCACTGTATCACACTGCTCTGCTCTTTCTGCTCCTGCGGGCATTCCCACTGTCTTCCATTAGTGCGGCTGAATCAGAGCATTGCTCTTTTGGTGACTGATGCTGCCTCCACAGCCCTGGATGTGCCGGAACACCGAGGTGTTCAGAGTAACACCTTATGTTTTCTAAATTGTGAGAGCCATGGGGACGCCACGCTCTTAGATCAATTCTAGGCAATCTAAATAAGATGGCAGGATGCCAACACCCTTTCTGACAACTAATGGGACTCATCAACACTTCTGTCTTACATTCTCAATTAATGAACGGCTGCATGTTGGGGAGGGTGAGCAGATGACTTTAACATTCTGTCTCCTGGTTGTTTAGAGCAACCGCTTAGTCAGCGGTTTGTATGCAGTCTCATTTTAGGAATGACTAAAGTTGCTTTAACTAGGAAAGGCTACATTTGCAGCATTCTGGTTGACAGAAATAGGGTTAATAGTTCTGGATATTTGGTTCATATGATCAGGACTTAATATCTGAATTAGTATTTAAGCAAAACTATATTACAAGTTATAGTCTCTTCAGAGTTTGTTGAACTCACACATCTCATGAGTGAGTTTGTGAAAATACATACAAATGAAATCATTCATGCTAAATACATAAAATGTAATCCTATAGAATTTCTGGAACACTGGTGTTCAGATTTGTTTAATTTCCACTCTCGTGTTTTTGTAGTTTACATGCTCAATTTGAACATGTCTTAAGTGGAAGCATCATAGAAGTGATGTCAGTGATGTCAGTGAAGTGAAATAATGATCTATCAAATAAATAGAAATGGCCGATCCCACTGTGGGGACACTTGTGTGTGTGATCCTGCACATGCACTGCTGGAATACCTGCAGATGGGTTAGGGATCATCACGTTTTCCTGGCCAATAATGATGACTGGATAATATTCCAATTTATCTCCTAGGAGCATTGCTCTTTGATCTATGTGTTGTAATGGGTCCAGTATTGGGGAGAAAACCAGAGGTTCCTGGCAGCTGGCCCTCACCAACATGATCTATCCAGCAATGACTGAGTAAACTCCCTGCTGAAGCCACTGTTTCTGTGAAATGATCCATAGGTCTGGGACATCGCAGCCAGCTGTAAGCGCCGTCCTGGATGGATTTGTTAACATGACCAGATGATAGATCAGATCTCTACGCAGTGGGAAAACCGTGGCCGACTTTTAAAAGCCCGTTTGCAGCAAAATCCTGTTTTCCAAATGTAATCAGTGCAAATATGTCACAGCACAACAAATCTGCATCTCTTTTGGGCGTACATGAATTTTTTGTATAGATCCTACACAATGCCTTGATCTAACCAGAGTTCAGGGTGAGTTGGGTCCAACACGGGAGGACAAGCAGACAGACTGAGAATAAGCAATGTTCTGTGTCCTGTTCATTTGTGATGGTGAACCCTACCTTGCCCTTATTCAATCATCAGTGTGTGGTTACAAAAAAAAGGTGGTCACATGATGTGCCCGCAATTCTAGTTATTTATTAATGGGAAGATATTGTAAAGCCCTCTCTACAGTATAAATTGAGATGAAGAGAGTTCAGACCATCACCAAGGCCTCAGAACGAGTTGAGAGTCATTCACAACTACTGGAAAAAGCACCTAAGTGGAGGCCTCATGAAGATGTAAAATTCTTGTGTTTTAGAACAAATGTTCACTTAGAGTTATTTGAAAATGAAATGCACATGAAAAACAAACTTTGGGATGTGTGTTTGTGCTCTGAACAGACAGGGAATCATGACACAGTGTGCATGACATCAAGAGAGAAGTGAAGCCAGCATACCTTGTTTCCTTTGGACCCGGTCTCCCCCCTCTCCCCCTAACAACACAACATCAGAACACATCAGGTGGCAGCAGGCCATCTAAACAAGGTTTGCATCCCCACTGACGACCGAATGTACAGCAAACTGATTGTTTTACGTTTTTGAAGTGTGAAGGACAACATTCACCACCATTAAAATGTGTCATGTCATCTGAGTACAGCATAAATAATACACCCTGAATTATTCTAAGCAGTCAACATTTCCAAAGCTAAACATGGAGATCATGTAAGCCCTCCCAGCAAAGCCATAAATCATGTATAACGTATTGCCTGCATCACCATTTGCAGACCCCATTAAGAGCAGACAAAACCTCAGAGCTCGTTTATTCTCTTTTGTTTCTGTGTGCTGTGGCGAGTGCTGACCCTCACCTTGTGACCTTTGTAGCCGGGCAGGCCCGTGGCGCCCGGTAGCCCTGGAAAGCCGGGGTCCCCCACCAAGCCCTGGGAAGGTCAAAGGTTACTGATCTTTGACTGAAGAAAATATCAAGTGAATGTTGGGTTCCTTTAACTGAAGCATAGTCCTGTGACACCTATCAGGTGTTATCTTGGAATCCACTATAACATTTAACCTCTTGAGACCTGAGTTTTTATTTGGTGTCCATTTTTGCTTTTTTTCAAGATATATGGGATTAGTAGGACCTAATAAGTTCAGTAATAAGACTTTGTCATGGTACAGGTAGCTTTTCTTCTTATAGGCCCAGTAGGTTTATCTTTATATCTAAAATGTGTGTTTATATATTGAATTTCTTCCCTGCAATTTGGTTCTGACGGTCCAAATAACTTAGTTAAAAAACTTTAATTAAACAGTAAAAACATAACTATTTGAAAATGTCTAAAACCATTTTACTCTAGATTTCAAACATTAGTGTCTGATAGCGTCTACTTTAAGGCCAAGAGGTGAAAGACCAAAGAAAAACGAAGTATCATAGTAAAGAGGAGAAAAATGCAATGTCCTCATATGAAGACGTAGGGTCTCAAGAGGTTAAAAGAGCTCTGAAGTGAACTCTTGAGGTGGTCAAACATTTCCTCGGGACAGTGTTTTCTGTCCCCACACTTTCCATTAACAACTTGACGAGCTGAACATGGGTGGCAGAAACATGCGAGTAAAAACTTTTAAAGTTCTTGTTGGAATTAGAAACCTCTTTTCAGCCTAAATTAAACTGATGTCACCTGTCACCTTGTGGTAAGTAACGGACATATGAGGGCATAGATGCTGAGAAACATGCCAATTAGAGAACAAGCCGGATTAAGATGGTAGGTGTCCTTCATCAGAGGAGTCTAGACTGGAGGTTTGGGGATGAATTCCCCCACCATGCTGAATTCTTTCAGTCTCACTTTTGTGAGCCAATATGGCTGAAACTGGAAGAGGATATTGTCTTGGTATCAGATTCTGGCTTTCTGATTGTAGGTCGTTTTATCATCTTCTTATCATCTTCTTTATCACCTGAACTGATTAGGGAGCATACAGTGGATGGGAGCCTCCAGATGGTCTGCCCCAAAGTCTCCCCCAACCCTGTGTGTTCATGTGTCTGTTGCTTTGTCTGATCTGATCTGATCTCGGTCGGTCGATTGATTGGTTGATTGATTTATTGATGCATACAAATTAATTTCCCGAATGAGACAGTACTGTGAAACTCAGAACTGTCAAATTCATCTCCTTCCTTCTGTTAAACAGAACCTGTCACAGAAGGGGTCCAAATAGACCAGGAATAAAGTTCAAAAGAAGTTCAGCTCTTTGGGATATGACAGGAAACCGATGTATTTTCTTCCCTCAGAATCAGTGTGAGTGTCTCGTGAGCTGTGGGGGGGGATGAACCCTGGAACAGGGTCACTCACCTTCTGTCCTGCTGGGCCAAGAGGACCTGCGGTTCCTGGATCCCCGCTCTTCCCCTGAGTAAGACACACATGCAGCACCTCAGCGGATCTTATTTTGAACCATAAACATTTTAACGTTGAGTGAAAGAATCACAGATGCCAGCTCACGCTGCACACACAAATGGGAGAGTGAGAAAGGGAGATCCTTCCTCACAGCCTGATTCCTGACTGGCCTTATTCATGTCAACCAGCCGTGCGACCACATCACACTCAGAGGCCAGAAAACTCTGATGATGCTCAGACTGATGGAAATGGAGGCAAATCTGGATCATACAATCACTTACAAGTAGTGTTTTGATCACAGGGCTGAATTCCATAGCAGAGCAGTCCGTATTTTGTGTTGCAGTTTCAGGAGGAACTCAGTTAAAGGCTGCACATGTTGGGTGCTCTTCACCTGATCTGGTCTTCCTGCTTTTATGGACTGGACAAGGTTTAGCTGTATGTATTGTTATTGGCTGATGAAAACCCTGTGTCAGGAGGCTGAAAACATTTTTACCACCGAGGGAACTTTTACCTTCATATGCATAGAAATCCTATTGTACACAATCAGATACACCTGATAACAGGGGGCAGAAGACTACACAAAAAATAATCTGGACTTATAGCATAGTAATAAATTGTTAATACTGTGTTTTTTCTATTTACATATTTTGTTAAAAGGCGAAATAATAACTCAAACAAAAAAAAGGAATTTTCTGTTTTGTTTTATTCTTGGATCGGGCTTTAAACGGTTAATTAGATTCAAACTTGGCTGATCATTTTCAATTCAGTTCAATTTTATTTCTATAGCGCCAAATCACAACAACAGTAATCTCCCAGCTTTCCAAACAGAGCAGGTCAGACTGGACTCTGAAGATATTTACAGAGGCCCAACAATTCCCACCAAGAGCAGCACTAGGCGGCACAGGCAAGGAAAAAGAGGAAGAAACCTCGAGCAGAACCATGGCTCAGGGTGGGCAGATAACAGTCCTACTTTTTCATTAGAACCTCCAATTTGTTTCAGCTCTTATTGGATCGACTAGCAGCAGAAGCCGTTCAACCTGAACCTACTCAGGTATTTGTTTTTGCACAACACTGAGAAAATATTGTGTTTTTGTCAGCTCCTAAAATACCCATTATCCATATCTGTGGATTGAAAGATAGAATCTACATTTGAACTGGTCAGAGAAATGCATCAAGTTGGTTAGCTAGCTTTTAGCTAGCATCAGAGGAGTCTCAGCATTAGTTGGACGATAAAGTACTATTACTTATGTAGACAAATCCGAAGAATCTCCATTTTCTGCTGTTTGTTTGAAATACTACATCCCAGGCAAGCATGTAAGTTTTTCTTTTTTGGTCTATTTAATCATAGTTTTATCCAACTGGACTGGGAAACATTTCAACTATAAATTCCCTGGACTAATTCTTGGGTTATCTTTGATTCTATTACTGGAAATAACTGTTTTTCTCCTCCAGGGACTCCTTTCACAAATGGTTGAGACTTGGTGGTGAATATTTGTAAAAGCAGTGGCATTGCATACAATTCCCTCGATCGATTTCTTCCTTCACAGCGAGGTTGGAGCTTATCCCAGTGGCAATTAAAAGCAGGCACACCATGGATTGATCCCCAGTCCATCACAAGAGCCACACAGAAGAGAAAAACAACTATTCACAGTCATGTAAACCCTACAGTCAATTTCAAGATAACCAGTCGACTGGATGTGCATCTTTCGGAGGGAATGAGGAAGCTGGGGGTAAACTGAGAAGGGTTATATCCCTAAAGCCACCAGCTGTAGATGCTGCAGGGTTCACAGTGGAAATGTCAGTTTTCACATGTTGAACAAGCTGGTTAGATAGTCAGTCCTGAAGAACACATTTAATTTCATTCTTACTGCTAAAGGAAGTTTTCAAAAAATGGGGAACCTCTTTTTACTCAGAAATAAATGTTCTAGAGTGTGTAACATCAATAGCTCAACCAACCATCCCTTGCAGGATGGCATTTATTACGTATTCAATAACACCTACACATTGATTCTAAACAAGCTCGGTCCCTCTCAGCAAAATGCAGCGTTCTCCATGGAAACATCAAGCTAAGCAGGAGGGGCGGGGGGGGGGGGGGGGGGGGGGGGGGGAGGGGGGGGGGCAGAGAGCAGCCTGGTGGCTGGGGAGCAGCAGTCAATTAGCATAATAACTAATAATGTTGAACACACAAACCTTGGGACCGACTGGACCAACTTCTCCAGGCGGACCCCGGGGGCCCTGGACTCCCTGGACAGAGAGAGATATTAAGTGGGGAGAATGAGGGAGAGGGATGGATGGGAGAGGAGAGGAATGAGGGGCAGAGGGAGAGAATGAGATGAAAGACACAGACAGTGCTCTGGGCTCTGTGAGAGCGAGTGCATGACGGCTTAGTCAGGAGGCACCCAGGGAAAAATGAGATGGCTCAGGTCCACTCACAACAAAATGACACACACTGGAGCACATGAACGCACACTCACAGTTTACATATTCAACAAAGCAACGCTGTGCACTCAGAGCCCAGCTTGAAGTGGTTTGTTTGTCCTTCTATCTGCCATCAGGACCTCACCACAGGAACACACACACACACACACACTCTGCCTCATTAGCACACCACTGCTGAGACAATAGCTGTGCTAACAACTCAATGAACAACACAAAAAAAATCCGCTGGGTTAGTGGGCTGCCCAGCTTCTGGGGCTTCAGGTCTCGGGGGTTCTGGGGTCCTCTGCTCACACATATTTTGCATATTCACACACGCCATTATGAAACAGTTTGTGTTGACCTGTAGTTTTCTCCAGAACAGTGTGGTTTCCTATTCTTTCTGCTGCTTTTGATGTTTTTTGTTTCTTTTCCGTTTTGCCTGTTTGCAGGTGTTTTCTGACTGTTTTTCCCAGTTTTCCAATGGAGGCTGCTGGAGGAATTTTGCAGCAGCTGACAGCTGAATTTTTTATTTTCTTCTATTAGTTTTCTCTTATTTCTGTCTTTCTTTGTCCTTGCCTTCTCTCCTCCACCCTCCCACTTTTCACGAATGAACATGAACTGTTAACAACATTAAATTAATCAACAATGGATGGAAATCAAGAGACTTTGTATGTATAAAAGCAGCGTGAGGACCACCTATTGAATGTAATACATCCACAGACTTAATCATATGAAAACACTGACAAGCTAGATGTTTATAGTTATAGATATCCCAGATTAAGGCCAGCAAACTAACAATTTCAGCTCGGTTTCTAGACCTTCACACAGTTGTCTATAGTTGCATGGAGACAATGGGTGTCTGCCCACAGACCAAACTTTTCTCCTCTCTCTCTTAAGCCTTAAGGTGAACATGCCTGTTTGTGAATAGCTGAGTTCTGTAATACTGACAGGCAGATAGGGAGGCAAACTAGAAAATATTTTAGCACTTATTTGTAGCACATCTTCACAGAAGTCATGAAACAAATGCAACCTATGATCCATTTACAGGAAAATTAAACCTGTCTTGCTCATGGTTTGATACTCTTTATGTCTGTAATATTCATATTGGCCACAAGAGGGCAGCAAAGCCCCAGACATGGAGTCAAACCATGTTGTTGGTGAGGTTTTTTTAAGCTGCCAGTGTCTTTTAGACACCTGAAGCAGTCAGAAGTTAGAGTACTATTTTTCACAAGGATGAGTAACCAGTCACCAGTGTAGTGAAAATAACTTTGACCTAAAACAATGCACTTGCAAACACTGACAACAGAGTTTTGCTTAATGAAAATAAGAGTTACAACTTTAATATGCACAGCATATTATTCATTCAAAGTGCTGAAATGTTTTCTGACCTTTGAATTGTTTTAAATATAAAGGATTACTCCTTGTCTGACCCTGGTCTGAGCAGCTGTGTTCTGGTTAGGGTTGGGGTTACCTACCCACAAAAGCCTCCCAAGGAGGGTGTGAAGGTCTCAAAACGCCTACAACTAAACTGTGGGATGTCTGACCGCATCTCAGATTAAAACTCTTCTACCTGAGAGGAGATAAAGCTCAGTAGTCCTAAACTTCACAAAGAAGACTCCATGCTAGACTAGATGTTAGTATTAGACTCCCACGTCTAATACCAATTGTGATTTTCTTTCTCTGAGGTTGTCCTCTATGATCCCAATTTAGTGTGTATCTTCAACAGTAGTACAATTCCCTCCATAGTTCCACTTCTTTGTTGAACTGATAATGAAATGATCTAACTCTTGGTTCTTACAGTGATCCATGTTGGATTGTCCAGTGGCGCTGTGCTGGACTTTGTCTTTAAAAAATTAAAATAAATCAACACCAGTATTCTAATAGTCGATAGACCTAATATATCCCACTGTTCTATACCATTTGTACTATCAGTAACATTTAGAAGCGCAAACAAACATATTCAGGTGAATAAAACAGATTTTACTAACCAATGCTCCTTTTATCCCAGGTGCACCCTGAGGTCCAGGCAACCCTTGCAGACCCTAAAGTTGCATTCAGGAGAACAAGGAATGTGTAAATAAGTTAACCTCAGCATAGCATTTGACTTAAGTCATGTTCAGGTCAAATATTACCAGAGGTCCTGGAGGTCCCACTTCACCAGGAGGTCCCCGGGAACCCTGCAGATGACAACAGTCTGTAGGATCAATATCATCTTTTTACGACATGAAGATATTTGTTTCTCACAAAAGAACTGTATCAGAATGGCATCCTTTGTATGACTCAGAGCTTCTGAGAATACCAGAGCAACTCTCACCAGACTGTACAGGGCAGCTCACCCTGTGCTCAAACTTCAGAGTATTAGGGACAAATCTGACACATTTGAGTGATGCTTGGGGGTCAGCTACTTTGATACACTCTCAAATGAACTCCAAACTACCATCCTAATGCAGCATTTTTTCCCTCTGGTGCTTACACCATTCAGAATGACTAGTGGACAGTTTCCAAACACTTTTGCCTCATGACGAATAGAGAGTAGCTCCCAAGTTTGAAAGTTTCCTTAAAATTAAGAAAGAAGAACTTTAGAAACAGCCTTTTGTCACAGCCAGAAACCTCAAACTGGAACTCCTCTTATGGTGGGATGCTGGTATGTCATGCCAAATGCATGCAATTGTTCTTGTTTCCTCATCTGAGAAAGTGGTAAAAACCTATTCAGTGAATAGAAACACGGGGTCATCCATCCAGCTCTGACATGCATTATCTGGCAGGTGTCATCAATGATTCAGAAATGGGTTCAGAAAACAAACTTTAGGAAAGCTCCACCGAAGCATTAACATCCCCAACGTCAAGCAAGGACAAGCAAAATGTGTAAGACTTTGTGAAGCTTTTATGATCTTTTTTATTTCTCATACTGACTGAACGATTGTTCACATAGTGGCTTTATCTCATCTGGGCCAGGTAACAGCAAACAGACCCTGAAGCTTAAGTCATGGTTATTGCTTGATAACTAACTACTAGGCTCCGGTTTAATGTTGGCTTGACACATAGAACCCTTCTTTTTGGTCTGAGCCTCTATGTGGAGCTCATCCGTGTTATCCATCCATCCATCCATTTTCCACCGCTTATCCGGGGTCGGGTCGCGGGGGCAGCAGCTGAAGTAGGGAGACCCAGACTTCCCTCTCCCCCCCCCACTTCAGCCAGCTCCTCTGGGGGGGTCCCGAGGCGTTCCCAGGCCAGACGAGACACATAGTCCCTCCAGCGGGTCCTGGGTCTTCCTCTGGGCCCGGAACACCTCCCCAGGGAGGCGACCAGGAGGCATCCTGATCAGATGCCCGAGCCACCTCAACTGGCTCCTCTCCACGTGGAGGAGCAGCGGCTCTACTCTGAGCCCCTCCCGGATGGCCGAGCTTCTCACCCTATCTCTAAGGGAGAGCCCAGCCACCCTGCGGAGGAAACTCATTTCGGCCGCTTGTATCCGCGATCTCGTTCTTTCAGTCACTACCCAAAGTTCGTTGCCATAGACGAGGGTGGGAACGTGGATCAACCGACTTCTCCAAGTCCAGAAAACACTGGGGGACTGGTTGAGCAAACTCCCACCCTGTGTTATCCTGTCCTGCTAAAATCCCAGTGAAAATAACACGTTCTGCCACAGTTCACCGAACATTCAACTTGAGCAGCATTTCAACATCCATCATACTCATCCATCTCTCAGCAAAGTACCTGCATGTTGTGCATAAAGGGGGTGCGTGATTCATCTTAACTCCACCGTAGCTCTGCCCTCATGCCAACAGAGAGCTGAGTGAGGACAGAGGAAATGATGGCCCACAGAAAGACAACAGGGCTGGACCAAACAACAGCTCTGCTGTTTACCTCCAGCATACCTCCACACACCAAACACGCTTTACTGCTATAGGACAGCCTCACTCCCACTTTCAATGCTCACATACTGTAGCAGGACTTTAGAATTAGGTAGAGAAGATTATACAAGATCCTATTTCCATTCTGATGCAGGAACCTATAGTCTGTGATTTATCTGTCATGTCAACCAGAAACAGAGTCAGAGGGGAACCGTGTGCTGGCAGTGGGCTGTAGTAGGGCCAGTTCAGCAGCAAAGAGTGTCAACCAGCAACGGAAGAACCGCAACACCGCGTCGTAGTTGTGATTCATGATGGAGTGGACAGACCCAAATGTCAGTTGAAGCACCAACTGGTAAGTACACTGATAATGGAAACTTAATCAGCTCCATTTGTCAGGACTTCAAGGTTTTTTAGTTTTTTGGATTGTTTTACCACCCGTCTTTGGTCCTGGGCCTTTACTTGAATTTGTACCTTTTCTTGTTGATTTATTGTTAGTTTATTTTCTGTTCTTTGGTAGCAGTTCGTCTTCAATTTCATTTTCTTCAGCTTCTCTCAAGTTTTGTTTCTCCTTGTGAAGAGAGGTTTGTGTGTTCCCATGAGGGTCTGCCACATTCATCATAATCACGCTCTGGCTCACCGAAGACGTCTCAGCCACGAAGGCTCTACAGTTTGAAAAAGTAAAGTTTGTATTTGTAACACATCACCTCATTAAGTTACTGTAAGTTTGTGGTTGATGATGACGTTATAAGTAGGATGTATGAGTGTGGAAATGAACCACTGGAGACCCCGAGCACTTTCAGAAGTGCAGCTGTTGTTGGCTTTCACTCATAGTCTTTTGTTTCGGGAGCAGCCACTTTCAGAGGATTAGTAGCATTAGTAGTCTCAATTTAACTGCAATATGGAGCAAGGAGCGTCTTAAATCACTGCAGACTATTCAGAGGTCAGACAACCTCTATCTAGGTGATTTTTCTGTACATGTAAAATGGACCTAGACACATGTCTGTGCTCTGAAATAGTTTCGACAATCTGACACAACATAAATAAACAACTTCACCTATCTAAAGGTTGTTACACTCTCCACCGGAACAAAGAGATCAGGCCTTTTTTCGAGATGGAGTTTTCATACTTGATCAAAACTGGGCTGCTGAGCTCCTCCAAGCATACATCACACATACTGAGAACACAACACATTTCAACAGGATCCTTAACTGGAAAAAAAAGGTCAAATGGATGGATAGATGAAAAACTGTGTCTACTCACCGGGGCACCTCCAGCTCCAGCAGCACCAGTTGGACCAGTATCCCCTTGTTCTCCCTGAGGAAAAGGGGATTGTGGTCAAATCAATCTAATATATCTGATTAACAAGTCATTGCAGAATGTTTGATTTAGTTACTTTGGTCAACTGAAATAAGAAATCATGTGCGATCGTATCACATGTTTTAAGAAGCGTTACAATTAGTAAGCAGCGTTAATTCATCCAACTATACACAGCTTCAGACAGAATAACAGTAGTACAGCTGGGAAAATATTTTCTCACACGTGTACTAGACCCCTGAAATGTTCTACAGATCTTCATATGTGTGTGTGTGTATGTGTGTGTGTGTGTGTGTGTGTGTGTGTGTGTATCTATATATGCAAATACACATTTAGATGTGGGGAACTTGATTGGGCGGGGCGTGGCGTGACTGCAGCTCTGTACTGACGCATGAACACAGATTGTATGGTGTGGTGAGGAATACTGCAGCAAGCAGGAGGCTTGTTAAGACAAAACCAACAAACAAACACATTTTAAGACAGAACACAATTTTAACCATCCGCAAGACCGAAGGCTCCCCTTAGACCGCTTTATACTGGTTAAATATATTGGTTCAAATGGAAGTGGTGTGTGAAATGGTTCCAGTGGAGACCACGGTAACACGCTGTCTCTGAGAAAGAGCATATGAAGCAGCTGTTAAAGGCATTCTGCTACGACAAGCCCGTTTCCCGCATCACCCCGCATTACTCTCAGCTTCCTTTGATGGAGTGTCGGTCTAACAGATTTCTTTATGTCTGCAGGTTATTTGTCAGAGCAGTTAAAAACCTTCTGAGTGTTATCAGAGAAGATTGTCAGCAGCCTCCAACTGCTGTTAGGTGCATGAACGTTTACAATCTAATACTCTGATATGGTCATGGTTATTTATGTTACCTTCAATGGGATCATGAACACCAGCTAACACCAGCTAAGCTCAAGCTGTCTTGCATCAAAAAGGCCAAATGGGGAGCACATTTTCTTGATGATTTATTTTCCCGTATCGTGTTCTAATCGTTGCATGTTCTTTCAGCCCTTTTCCAGGTACTCTGGCTTCCTCCCACCGAGCAAAAACATGCATGTTGGGCTAATTGCAGACTCTAAATGGGCTGTATGAGTGTGTGAGCGCGTATAACTGTTTATCTCATTTGTCTCCGTCGGGCCCTGTGATGGACTGGTGACCTGTGCCTGGTAGCCTACCCTCGTCCAATGACACCTGGCATCGGCTCCAGCCTCCCAGGACCCGAGGAGGAATAAGCAGTATAGAAATTGAATGGATGTATGTGTGGAATGCAACAAGGGGAATTTTATCTTAATTAAAGCCAGGAGCGATCTTGAACCATTAGTTACCACAGAGCACAGCATGTGCTCTCACTTGTTCTCACTGCTAGAAACCTGCTGCTACTTAGCATTTCCAGAACATTACCAAGCAAAACAACTGTGCCTTCAAACACTGAGCTGTTTAAAGCAGTGGGTAATTGTAGTAATTATGGTGCACAATTGTTTTACATGTGCAAATGTGCGGATTAAGGCATCTCTGTTGACATAAACAACCCCCCCCCCCCCCCCCCCCCCTATGACCTTAAAATGCTGAAGAGTCATCCATTTCCCAAAAGGAGCAAAGGAGGAAAGCAGGGGCAAATAGCTTTGGAACATTCAAACGGAGGCCTGTGACAGCGTGGACCTGTGGCTGAAAGCTCCTTTGGAGAGAAGCCTGGATGATCAGCAGCATCTTTCAAGAGAGGAAAATATGATTGTGCTGAAAATGGGTGTAAATAAAGTTTTATGCGTAAGCTCCTGTGCATGCATCTGTATATGTTAAAGTTACAGTCAAATACACAAGTCTGGGACCTCTGGTATAGCTGAGGTTTAACATGAGGGAAAATGTGAAGAGTCTTCAGCCAATAAATGATGACAAACAATGGCCGTTTACTCCTTATTCCTCTTCATTAGTGGCTGGTTACAATTTTCATATTGTCTGGTAAATAAAGCCTTAAATTGTACTTAAATAAAACACAACATCAGTGTTTTTGTGAATGATTAGAGAGTTTTAGCATCCGAAACCTTCTTCCAGCATGTCTGAAGCCACACCCTACTGCTCCTTTTTGGGGGACCCAAAGAGTCCCTCTGCCAGATGGGACGTGTAATCTCACAGTATGTTCTGGTCGTGGCCCATCCCAGTCCCAGCAGGGCTAGGGATGGGTTGGAGACGCCAAGAAAGGGTTAAAAGTAGGCAGAGGGACGGCTTATCAGATTCGCCAACCACAACCCTCATGACATGAAAGATCACAGAGCATCTCACAAAGGAAACCCCACATACACATGTTCAGACTCTTTTATGCTCTTGTGGTTTGGGCACAGCAGCCCAAACAAGGCCACTCAAACTCCTCATGAAAAGCTCATCCATAGCCTGTAGTGAACTATTGACGGTTTCATTAGATTTTTGCTGTAAAGGAGGAGGTCAGACGTTGTTTATTAACCATCTTAAATTATCTCATATTGACCTTTGCTTCAGATTTCTAGCTCTGAGATGCCGATCTTTCAGTGCCACTGTTTTTTTGCAGTTTGTCGCAGGGTTAAATGGAGAATTTGTCCGCTCTAAGTAACAAACTCTTTTAAACCAGTTTCTCCACACTCGTCTATTTTCTCTTGAGCAGACAACCAGAGGTTTATGTCATGTTGCCATCGTTGGAGCGTGGTGGGTGTCTGGGCTGTGTAATTCTGAGGTCTGCTACTCCCATGGGTTTATGTGCGTAGTGTGGTGAGACGTTCAAAAGACAACAGACACAATAAAGGCCCAATTCAGTTGTTTCCTCACTGCCAACAAACAGAACCTTTCACTTAAACTATACGTAGGACTGTCTGAGCAAAGAGACCTTGTGTTTTAAAACTTCATGAAGCCATGCATGAATTCTGGCATAGCACTGGTCTAAAGTTGGATCATAGATGAGTCCAGTTTTACAAGATGGCCTGATATAGGGTCAACCCAATCCAAACCCACTTGCCTACTTTGGACTGAGGATGAGTTTGATCAACTAATTGACCTTGTATGGACTTAAATGAAGACTATATGTTACTGGTGTGTTTGATTTTAAAGTGTGAGAAGACCCAGAGTTACCAAGTACACCAGCATCTCCACAGCCCATAAACTTTATCAATGCTCTAAATAGAGACAAAATGACCACGTTAACATGCTAACACGTTCCCCTAGTTCATTTTTCATAGCACAGGGCCTTCAGTTATCAGGCCCCCCTCTATGGAAGCAGCTGTCACTTCCGCAGAAAGTACATTCTCTGTTTTACAGGACTGAAAGTGTTATCCAAAGAACTTATAATTGAAACTCTCACCAATGAAACTGATCAAGTCAATATAAAACAGCTTCTTCTTTATATATAAAGAAGAAGCTGTTTAGAGTCGCAGGAAGCCTGGATTCTATTCCCACTGTCAGACACAGAGGTAGGTGCAGTGCATCCTGGATTGATTTAACAGAGATACACAATCCCTATTCAACTAATCATGCATACTATAAACCAGTTTTTACCTAAAGACAGATTATAGGGAATCGAATACTGACCAAATAAACCCTGTGTATCATATGTAAAAAAAGAAAATCAAAGATCTGTGATCCAGAATATCCATTGGCCATTCTTAATGAATGTTTTTAGTTGAAATAGGTTGTTCCACCTGTGTCGCTCTGGGTTTTTCGTGGGTTAAATTTTCAGTTGAGTGTTTAACAGTTTGTGTTTGTTACTTTACTGTTTCCTGGTGAAACAGAGCAGTGTTACTGGTGTGATCAAAGGCTACGCAGAAGCCTGAGGCCTCCCACAGCTAATCTAAGTTTAGGCCTCATTAACAATCAATGAGGCTGTCATGGGTGGCTGAGGAGAAATTCTTTACAGTTGATGAGCGATTCTTCCTCAGCCAGAGACCACACTCAGCACTAGTGCAGTCCACATCTGGATCCTTGTTTGCACTGTACCGTCACTAGTTGTTCATTCTCTAAAGACTCTGTGGGAACTTTCGACAGATTTACTTGTATTCACATGGGACAGTCTTTCTGGTAACCATTAGTCAAGCAATTAGCATGTTCGGCTGTATTCTTTTGATATTTTAAAGACTGTGCCTAAAAGAGGGTTCCTCCACCGTGGTCCTCAGGGCCCTCAGCCCTGCATGTTCTCCATGTTCCCCAGTGTCAGCACACCTGACTGAGATGAGTGTGTCGTTATCCTCCTGCTGCAGAGCTGAGGAGCTGATCCTCTCCTCTGAACCAGGTGTGCTGGAGCCCGAAACACGAGGAACATGCAGGACTGTGGCTGCTGAGGACCAGGGTTGAGAAACAGTGGCCTACAAGAATGCACTATATGGCAAATTTGCAAAACCGTCCCCCATTTATGCACACACACGTTTTATATTGTACACAATGCATTTTGTCTAACGGCCGGATTTCAAACTACCAGATGAGAGCTCGACCTCCTGGACTACAGCCCGGTCAGCCGTGGTGTTGTCCTGCCGTTACTACCTGACTGACAGGATACACAGAAACACGTAAGGATGCCCCCTAAAAAGTCAGCTTTCAATTCACCTCGAGACTTGAACTGCTCAGGAGAGCAGCAACAGCTCCAACTCAACAGATGATTACAATCTAGGATGAGGTTACGCTTTCAGGTGGAATGACATGACTCTGATCTGTTTGCATGAACACACCTCTTCAAAGCTTCACAGGAGGAACAACAGCAGTAAAAATAGCAACGGCAGCACAGGAGCTACATTTTGGAACAGTGATGATTAACACCCACTCTTTTCCATCTATGGTTGCTGAGGTGTGGGACGCTGGTTTCTTAATAGGTGAAGTGGAGGAGCTTTACAATGAGTGTCATTAAGCTGAATTGTGCAGCCCGCTTCTCCTCACTCTTCACTTCATAAAGACGAAGCAGCCTCACCAGATACACGACAATGAAAAAAGAATAACACTTTCACCATGATCAGAATCATATACATTCTGATTATTTCTCCATGTTCTCGTCTACTTTTGTAGTCAAACAAGTTACAGATGACAAATGTGCATCTCAGCCCAACAGTAAACAGTTTTATCATCTCCAACCAGCTGTCAACGTGTGTCAAACAACACACCGATCCCCTCCGAGCTCCATTTGTGTGTGTTCCAAAATAAATGTACAAAATAAATGTACAAGTCAGCCCTCCAGCAAACATTCAGGAAAAACCCACATGAGCTCCTTAAATACTTCCAACAGATGCAGGGAAAGATTAAGCGTTTTTCTCCAGCAGGTAATTACAAAGTCCAAAACCTTTTCTGACTCATAACCTCTGGGAATGTTACTTGTGATAACAAATCTCTCAGTACTTCATTATCAGATTTAAATCTCTCTAAAAACCTTAAACTTGTATTAAGAATGGCAGCTGGAGACACCTCAGCCAAACGATTTAAGTGTGAACCATGAAATGACACTTAAGGAGCTGTTCATCCTCACAGCCCACATTCTGCATCAAAGGCTTCTGATTCCTGTTCCCCATGCACATGTTTAATGCTCCATGACTCTGTTGGTAATTTAGAGACTGCACTGCAGCGCGGTGTTGTTTCCGTATATTAGAAACACAGTTGAACTTTATCCTGTCTAAAGCATATCTTTTTGTTTGATTAAAGTATCATAAAAGTATTTTTAAAGCACTTTTCATTATGTCAGGAAGTGGAGAGCTAGAGGTTTAACAATAGAAAAATAAAGTGGATTTTTAGAAATGGTCTCATTTCACTTGAGGGAAAAACATTGACCAAAGGAACATCATATATCGTTAAACACAAATAGACACATTAGACACAAATACTTTAAAAGGTAATGATTCTTTGAGAAGCACTGAGGAGTCTGGAAAACTTCCAAACAACAGCCACAGGTTGTTATTTTGATCTGACAGACCAGTAGAGAGTCTTTGTCTCTAGTAGTGAAAGTTGTAATCAGATTTTAGGTGAATGATAAACAGGCCCCCATCATTTCACCAGTCGTGACAAGCCAAGCATATTTATGCATAAGAACAGAGCTGGCTTAGGTGTTGGACAGAATTTAGATTTTTTTAAAATATGTCCCCGTCCAAACATTCCATCCATTCAGCCATCATACATTTCACATCCCTACTTACTCTAAAGAACAGGGGTACACCCTGAACAGGCCACCAGTTCATCCCCCTAACCCTGACCCCAGGAGACAGCCCCACCAGGCACCCCCTAACCGGCATGTGATGCTCAACATCAGCCCACAGTTTCCTCAAAAACATTCCTCTGTTGAAAAATATCTTCAGAAATAACAAAGTAATCAAAAATATTGAACATGGCTAATAAGACCATGTAGACTGGGAGTCACAGACATTGTTGGGCCAGTGCTTCAAAGCAGCCAGTTCAAGGCTCTCTGGTTTTGGAGTCATGTCAGTGATGTATTACATGAGCTGGTGTGGTGTTATTTATAGATATTCGCTTACGTGCTCAAATTATACATATTCACATATCAGCTGAGTCGCCTAGAAGCTGAGTCAGACTTTACGTTTTTTTTTTTTTTTTAAGAAACCAAATAAAAAATTTACTTTATGCAATGAGTTGGTAACAGGGGGGGGGGGGGGGATTTATTTCCTCAAACAGGACCTCTCCAACAGACATGTGGGCAGCAGCTGCAGGGATCTCAGACCACAAGTGTTGGAGAGAGAAACCCCGACCACTGCCTCACATATCACTGAAAATGTTGTTTTTAATCTTTTAATGGGTTACTTGGCATTTTTATAAACAGACAAAAATACAACCATCAACACAGAGGACTGGCTAACAGACAACACTGTCCACAGAGAGAAGCAGGTCTGAAGGAACACAGGAGTTTGCTATTAGACCTACTGTATTTGTACGCTTACACCCCCCCACCACCACACTCCAGCTAGTGCAGAACACTTGCAGATTCTTGGGGAAAGTAGTTTATTATGGGAACAGGAAACATCCCAAATTACTGAGTAGGAGATGGTTCAAAGAAGACCTAAAATAGCAGCACGCGCTGGGAGCTGGTGGGTGTGTCCGCAAACCAGCACATGTGTGCCCTCTCTCTTTCATTTAACCACTGAGAGGTTGCCACAGGAAGACATGTTACACAGTGTTTTCAGACTTAAATCATGACATGGACATTGGAATACGATTCTTCCAGAGGAGACAGGCTTCACTGGGTGCACATCAGTGAGAGCATGAGGCTGAAGGCCCTTTCTACCCCTCACCAATATGTCACACAGAAGAATATTCTTCTGTAATATCATGAAATATGCAAATGACAACATGATCAAATGTCCCCAAAATGACCTTTTCTGGCTTCCTCTGAGCTGTGACAAATACATCTAGATGATTTGATATGATCCTGTTTGAGTGTTGGAGCTGGATGAGTTCAATGTTGCCATGTCCGTGTTTTACACAATGGAGTGAGTGTGTCTTGCTCAGATGATCTTTAAAAAGCTACAGTCGGCACTGACCTTTGGTCCTGGTGGCCCACCCAGCCCGCTGGGGCCTGGTGGTCCTGGTTCCCCCTGGTTGGACAACAGGCACAGATTGAGAGGCACTTTAGAGGACCAGCAGCTGCATGTATCTGTCAGGAGTTCTCACAAAAATCACTGGAAACTGGACACTAGGCTGACAAACAAAGTACTGATTATAAAGTTGAATCTTGTGCTTGGACTTACTCAAATGGTCACCAGGATGTGATCATTTTAACCCTACAACTTCTGGCTCAATGCAGGCATAAACATTATTGCTGAAGTTGGTCTTACCATTGGTCCGGTTTCGCCTGGAAGTCCTGGCTCCCCTTTCTCACCAGGGGTTCCCTGTACAAACATCACCGTTATAGTGTTTGTGTAGATGGACATGTACATGCATTTATACACAGACAGAGAGAGACAGACTGTGTGGTGCATTAAACACACACTGGTCAGAATGTATGGCACATCTTCAACACTGCATGTGAAAGGACTCGAAGGTGATCAGGCACTTACAGGCTTACCATCAGCTCCTGGAGGGCCTTGACTTCCCTTCTCCCCCTGAGAATCCTGTGGCATCAAAATATTGCATCATCACAAGCAGAGAATTCTTTGGACATTGTGTATTAACTTCTTTAAGACACTTTGTAAACTAATGTCAGATTACCAATGCAATTTAGTCCACTGACATGAAATCCACCCTCCTGAGTACATGACACTCAGTGTTAACACTTCACATTATGAACTGATGTTTTCAAGTCTATGCCGAACACAAATAATGTAAATGAGCACATCCTGATATCTACTGAATCAGTTTGAGACCAGCAGATGGGTGAATATGAAATTAAATTTAAATTAGTGTATTTTTGCTATGAGGACTGGAAAAACAAATTCTCAGAATAATCCTAAATTAATTGGTCAAATCTCATGCTGTGTGTGTGAGGGTGTGTGTGTGTGTGCATGCTACCAGGTTTCTTACGGAGCCAACAACACTGTCTTCTTCTTCTGGTGCTGTTCGGTTTTGGGGACACTGAGGATTCACAAATAGGAAAACCTTATTAGACATCCAGTGTTTGTTCTCCCCTCAGTGGTTAATGGGCTGTCATGCCAGAATAACAAGCACTCCCAGTTCATTTCATGGCTTATCTCTCAAAGGTTGTGTTTAAATTGCGTTTTGAATATGATTTCTTCAGAATGTGACCTTTTTCACAACACGGCCACAGATTGTAAACATCCTTCAGAGTATTAGAAACCCAAGAGAGCTGAGCTTCAGTTCACACAGAGCATGTTATGACACATATGCTGGCAAAATGTTTCAATGAAAGACTAAAACTGTTCTGAATCAAAGATTTCCAAAATACTGTATCCTACTTTGGACAGGTCTTTAAGTCTAACAATCTTTTGGATCTGGGTTTTGTTTAGAAATTCGGTTAGAATATAAAATGACTTTATCCTTACCCTGTCATCATCCTGCACATCATAGAAGAGAGAGGAAACAGAATGTCGTCATCATAACAGGATCATCATTTGAGCATTACACAGTGAAGATGGCAGCAGAGGTTTTACCACAGTGTAGATTTCACAGGCTGTTTCTTTGTCACTCTGATGGGGGTCACAGTACAGACGCAGCTTCTGAAGCTCCACCTGCAGCAAAAGAGCATGAACTCCTCAGTCATTCATTCATTCATTCATTCACTGACCGCCTGTGCCCCATTTAGATTTATTTTCCTACATTACAGGTTCCTCATTTCATGTTCCCCTCAACCCTTAGCTGTTGGCTGCCTGTAGTGCTTCTGGTTCTTGCTTGATTCTATTTGTTTAATAGAAGAAAAAAATGTCTTTCTTTAATCCGAAACTATAACTTATACCCGTTTAGTATCCGTAGGTGAGACATCACCTAGCTAAGCCTGTTAATGCTTTTACAATTACATGTTGTTTTACAGGAGCAAAAGTGTGTGAATATGATGCAATTCAACATCAATTATATGAATAACATTCAATTTTCAATATTCGTCAGTTGATTGTATTAGCTTAAGTTTCTCCAATAAGTTCAGTTTTCAGATGTATGTGCTCCTACAGGAGAGGATCGCTGTCAGACTGAGGGGAAGAAATTATGGATATGAATCAAACCCCATAGATAAACGTTTGCCCTTTAACAGACAGGTCACTGATATTGTATCTGTCAGCTGAATTTTGGAACAGAGATGTTGAACGTTTGCTCTTCACCGGCACTGTGATATCTGTTCCTGGCCTCTTGGCGACCTGCGTCTTTCCATTGATGTAAATGGGTTCCATGGGCTCCAATTTGGCTTTCTGGATCAGTTCATCATCGAGGAAACTGAAGATCTGTCGTTGCCTCACCAGCAGTTTCAGCTGATGCCATCTCCCGTCATAAAGGGCCTAAAGCAGAAGATCAATATCCTTATTTTAGCATCCTCTGGAAGACAAAGATGCATGGACCGCTAAACTGAAGCAATTTTTCCACCTGGTGTCTGTTTGTGAGGCTCTTTTTTGTCTGATTGATTTGACCTGGAAGTTTGAGGAGTGCACATGTCTTGCATCTAATCTAATATCTAATATAATCTAATATTGATGCTTAATTAAAGGCTGCATGCTCTTAAAAGAGAAACTGTTTTAACCACCTGTCTATCAAAATTGAAACTCATCTTTTCCTGTTCCATCACAGACTTTTTCAAACTGTAGTGAGGGAGGGAAAAACAGAGACACTATTGTCCCGTTGGAATTTAAATCCCCCCCCCCAAACATTTCCACATTACAAATGACAGGGTTCCACCTTTTGCCACATCAAACATAATTTAGGATAAATACTGCCCTGTTCAACACCTCATGCTGGAGTGTAGGTGTGTGCTGGAGGGATGGCCTCGGCCGCCTTTTTGGAAAAGACGGCCAGTCCCACAAGATTATTAGCTGCTGTGGAAACAGAGCTGTTCTCCAAGTACAACACACAAGTCAACTAGTTTCCACTAAAGAGGAGGTTCAGAGCAGGAAACCTTTCCTTTGAGCATCCTCCTGGCTTTCTTCACCTCACACTCTCACTCGTTCAGCAGAGCATTGACTCTAACTGCTTTTGATGGATAAACTGCCTCTATTTGGACTCTGAGTCCTCTCAGCCTGACCCATTCCAGCAGGATGGAAGCAAAGCTCCAACCACACAGCCGTTCCTGAGAGGGACGATGTGTGCCTTGACTTGCGTGGTCGGGTTTGGGTTGGAGTTTTCAGGCCAAATGCTCTTCCTGATGTTTTAAGCGGTTCTCAGACCGGCCCAAACGGCACATGGAATACCCCACCCCGTTTCAGGCTGCATTGTAGGCACCTGCTGCCCCCCCCGACCCACAGCCGCCCACAGCTCATGGGGTGGAATCCAGGTGATGGATCAGCTTAAGGGTGCTCACCACTGTCTGAGAATTACTACACCAACTTTGTCTGAAACATTTTCTCATGCTAAATTTGTAACATCGTTATTTTTGGGGTCTCTTGTGAAATCAATTTGAACTTCTTGTCAATCTTCAAAAGAGTGTAATCTCTATTTTGAGCTGTTACTTTTAGTTTGTTTAACATAACTACTTCATAAACACTACCCTGGCGTTATTTCAATACATGTCAAACCATCATGATTCGGTTTTTGCAAATCAGAAATTCAAATGGGCAAATTAGGCAACCGACCTGGAAACCAAGCTTGAAGGTGATTCGCTGGTGCTCTTCTGACATCCTGGTGGTGGTGAAAGTGACGGTTTTGTCTCTTCCACTCAGCGTCACAGCAACCTGGATCTCCTTTTCCTTCGACAGCACCCTCCACAGATCAAAAGCCGCCCTGGCAGCGGCCCCCTTCAAGCGCAGAGTGGCCACAAATACGTAGGATGGAGGCAGACCTTCTGGAAATATGTCTCTATAACAAATATTGGAAAAAATTATACAAATAACAACAGATGTCCATCAGTATAAAGCAGAACACAGTCTTTTCCATTACGTGATACCTTGTTTTCTCGGTAATGTCTGTGGAGGTAGTGAGAGCATAGGCTGTTTCAGAAACCAGAGAGCCGGTGATCTTCGAGGCTTTGGTCTGAACTTTCAGGCCTGCCATCAGCTCAAAGCCTTTCTCATCTCGAGAGGCCACCGGGATCCGTGTGGGGCAAACGGACTCTGGGGAAGCAGAAGTCTGTCGGTCAGCTGTGGATCCTCTAATCAAAACTATCAACTACACAACGACGAAACAGAAGAAGAAAGACTTGTTTTTCTAGTGTTTGCACTTTAGACACAGTTTTATCATCTCAGAGCTTTTTCTCCGTCCGATAGGTGAATGAAATGAAATAAGTGCGAGTGAAATAAACCTGCTCCGAATTTCACATTCTAATTTAGTTTGTCTTATCCATTGTTTCTGAAGAAGTAGTGGAACCCCAGCATCCCGCTTCATACTTGATCCTGAATCCAGGGTGTCTTCTCTCTCTCTGCCCTTTCCTTTGTCTAACCAACCAAACAGCCTCTTTCATCTGACCAGCATCGGGCTGCTCACATGTCACTGCCACACTCTGAATCGTCCTTCTGCACACGGCTAAAGCACCTCATTCATTTGAGATTCCATTACTAAATTCAGATCTTCAACAATATCTTTTTTAAGTTAATTTACATTTGTCTTAGCAAAGGCACAGCTACTCTAATTTGACTGATCTGCGCGCTGGCAGCAGCGTCCTTAAAGCTGACACAGTCTGACCATGAAAACCACTTGTGCAACACTTCATCACCACCAAAAGGGGACGTGGTAGACAGGATTCATTTCTGCAGGGAAAGGCAGTGACAAGAGTATTTCTCAGAGTCGTTCCATGTTCAACAACCCCAGCTTTATTAATGGAAGCCTTGAACAACCCAACAGCATATTCATCCTGGATGCTGCTTTCACATTCAACAACTTCATCAACTGCCAAACTGTGTTGTTGTTGTTATCATTTTGCATTACATTTGCATTAGACATTGTGTAAAAGTAAAAAGAGAAGTGGACAAAACATCTCAGACAAGAAAATTATATTTTTCTCTCCGTTTGGGGTTAGAAACCTCCTGCGAACTATGAATGTAAAAAGGACGTTCCTGTTCAATTACGCTGCACTACAGAAGTTTGATTCATGCTAAATGAATTAGACTGACACAGTATGGGGATATTTTACTCACCTTCACACAGCTTCTGCTCCATGGCATCTCTCAGGCGGTAAATGTTGGTATAATCTTCAGCATACAGGACATATGTCGCCGATGGCTCATTTGCGATGGACACCAGCTCCGATGTGGTGATCTCACTGCCAACACCCACAGCAAACACTGTGATACCCTGAGCACGGGCCTCCATGCTCACCTCCACCTGAGAAAAAACAGGTACGCAGAAATGACAGTTAGCCTTTCATAAAGCACTTCCACATCCAACATCTCGTATTGTGGACAGTCTTTCTGAAATGTAAAGGACAGGTATGGCTACTCTGCAAAGCATCACTATTTAAATGGGAGGTTTGAGTGTCCCCCTGGCCTGAAAACTGGTTTGTTTGTTGCCCTTGCAAGGGTCTCAGGGGAGGGGTTCATGGACCTCATTGGAGCAGCAGATTAATCAGGACATGGTGGGGCTGTCTTGGCTTACTTCAGTGTTACATTTAGGTATGGAACCACATCTGTGGAGTGGCAGTTCCCCCCAAGGTGGCAGTTCACATTTTAAGGAAGGGGACCAGAGTTTTTGTTCCAACTACATGGTGATGGGAGTACTCAGATTGACTGGATGAGGCAGTAGTTTGGGAATTGATGTTCGCCTCTCTGTTTTTTGCCACTGATGTGTTTTTGTTGGCTTCTCTAAGCTAACACCTTCAGCTTGAACTGGAGGGGTTTGTACGAAGGGGCTGGGAGGAAAGCTTAAAAGTTAGTTGCGATTCTTTGGGCATCTGATCAGGCTGCCCCCTGGCTGTCTCTCAATGGAGATTTTCACTGGAGAAATGTCCACAGGGAACTCACTGAAGGGGCTACATAACCTTCAGAATGCCTTGGGATCCCCCACATGATGGTTTATCTCCTTATACTGTTACCTGCATGATGCAACGTTGTGTAAGCAATAGATGGATGGATGGATGGATGGATGGATGGATATCTACACTCACCACATCATCCTGAGATTTGCCATCAGTCACCACAACAGCTATGCGGTTCTTGACCTGGCTGGCCCGTTTGGAGACAGAGAACACGTGGTCCACAGCAAACTTGATAGCCCTGCCAGTCTGCCAAGCAAAATTTCAGTCAGTCAATCAGTGAAACACTACAATAAATTTTAAACCATTGAGCACACCTGTAATACAGCCGTACCCAGCAGATATGCATAAGAGGGATGGATTCATGTTTGCGTGCACTGTTGCTGTGGCACAACCAGTCTCAGCCTGCTACACTTTGTTTGTTTCTTGCATTTAAATGAAGAACTGTTGAAATAAATATTTGTACAGGATATTTCATCATATAATTCAGAGGGCTTTCTGTCTGCTTCTGATAGGTTTGTAAAGGAATTCTCTCAAATTGATTAATTAATTTCTTTAAGCATTTTCATTTTTTACATGCCTTTGGTACATGAACGGTTTGGGTATTCTGATGTTCTAATAAAAAGTGAAGGTGACACTGACGATATAACAGATGTAATCAGATTCGCTGACATTTTGAATACTTAATGTATTTAAACTATGTGTCCTGTTTTTTTCCTCTTGCAAAATCTGAGCTCTGATGGCAACATGCTGCCACCTGAAAGAAGTCGGGAAGCATTCGTATTTCCCACAGAGTAACATCCACTCTTCTATTGTCAACACTCTATAATCCACAACACAACACATTTCAACAGGTGCATTCTTATTTACAAGAAGTGAAGCCGTTTAAGGATGACAAAGTTAAGTTTTCACTAAGTACTTCCCTTGGCACTAAAAGGCTAGGTAGCCAGCAGCTGTTAAACTACAGCTCTTGATCATAAAAACCTCTTCAAAAGCAGACTGTAGTGTTTTCCCACCTACTGGTAAGGCCGTGCACCCATTGGTGTGTGAGTGTGTGTGAAGCCATGCTTAGCCTGGATCACTGCGTGGACTCAGAGGTGCTGTATGAGTGTGTGTAGGAATGTGGGGATGCGGCTTTTAGCCTCAAAGTACTTTGAGTGGTAAACTAGACAAGTACTATAGAAGTACAGTCCCCTGCAGTTTGATCCAGTTTAAGTACTGTGTAAAGTGACATGCATTTTTTCTTGGAAGGTTCTATTAAATTCATTTTAGATCTGGTGAGGACTGGATTGTTTTTGTATTAAAGCTGGGACCTACATTACTGAAAGCTTGTACTTCACTTGTTTGTTCTTCACTGAACTTTTGTTGTCGTGGAAATTAAGACTCCTATAACCCTGACTCAAAAACATACCTGTGTGTTTCCTCCTATGTAGGTGATGCCCTTTATTGCTTCGATGAGCTCTGTTGCTCCATGATGCTCCCCCAGAGATATCTCCAGTCGAGGTGTGTCACTGTACTGGACCACAGCCACCTGCAGCACACAGTTGAAGCTAATGCAGGTCAAGTGCTCTGAAACCATCAGAAACACAGTTTTCTGGTGGCCTTTTGCACCAGGAAATGGCCTAAACCTTGAATATTAATATTCTTGCACACAGTACTAAATGGGTACAAATGGCCGTCCAGCCAAACTGACCAATCATGGGAGAAGAGCCTTGGTGACTCATGGCTGTACTAGCTCAAAAGGGTGCTTCCACCCAATACTGAACAAAGGGTTGAATACTTATGACGATGTGACATTTCAGTTTTTCTTTTTAATACATTTGCTAAAATGTCAACATTTTAGTTTTTCTGTCAAGATGGGGTGCTGAGTGGACATTAATTAAATAAAAATAACTATTGATTATAGCAAATGGCTGCAATGAAACAAAGAGTGAAACATTTAATCTGAATACTTTCCGTACCCACTGTATCAGGGATAAATAATAAAACTAGTGATCATATTGAAATCGTACACTCAAAATCTGTTGGGAGCTATGGTATCTCAGTAGCTGGAGTCAGTATGACGTGGATCATACTACCTGTGTATAGAGGACACTGATGTCGAACCCGCTGGTGATGTTGATGAGCCATTGCTTGGCTTTATCAAAGTCAGCCAGGCCAACGCTCCATGAACCGTCCACGACATAGACCAGGTCGTTTACTGCTGTGCTGCATCCTGTACACACACAGTAACAAATCCAACAAATCCAGTTATCCACACAGTCAGGGAACATTTGCGGGGAAAAGTTTTGTCATACAGTTATGACAGTCAGCAGTTATGATGGTAAATTATATCATTACATCTTGGACAGAATAGAAACTCTGAGGTAAAACAGCTTCACCCCCACCTGCTCGAACATCCTGGTCCTGTGCAGCCTGCACTGGGATCAGCAGCATCAAGCTCCACACTGGCCACAGCAACATGGCTTTGATGGCTGGTGGCCAGCCTCTGTGCAGTCCCACCTGCGTTAGACAACAGCCACGTAAAAACTAAACAACATCTTCACCATCAGTTTGCATGTTCTCATGTATGCTTGGGTTCTCTCGTCGTCCCACAGTCTAAAAACAGGCACGTGAGGCTGTGTGAGGGCATGCCTGGTTGTTCTCTGTGGCCTTGCTGTGGACCGCTGACCTGTCCAAGGTGTTCCTGACCTTTCACCCAATGACAGCTGGGGTGGTTTTGTTATGTGATAGCTCTCAGTTAACGGGCCCAAATACTTCCTACTCTACACTTATCACTATAACAACCATTTCTGTTCAATTACTTAGAAGATGCAGACGGCCTTTAACAAACTGCAGCACCACTCTCGATATCAACAGTAAGATATTCTTTGCCTATTTCTACTTTCGACATTCACAAGTCAAAGATTTATGTGACTGATTGTGCCCTGTGTGATTGTGTTGTCAAAGAGTGAAAACACTGTGATGTAGCAGTGAGTTTCCGTATGAAATGTCCACATCTGTTTGTTGCTCTTGTCCTACATCTTCCCAGTTTAAAGTGCTCTTGTGAATTCCGATGACTGCTGGCCTGGTTGTGAGTTTTTCTACAGTTTCTTCTGTGTTCATCGTGCAGTGCAAATATGGTTCAGTCCACCACAAGGCTAGCAGAGAAAATAACAACATGCGCCTGTGCTGCATGGGAAAAGAGAAAAGTAAATATGGGAGAGGAGGCTGCATCACACAGGGAGGAGAGCTGCCACAGCCTTTCTGTTGCAGTCTCCTCTGAACTCCAGTAATCCTTGTTCTGTCTCTGCAGCATGTTGAAAACCACACTGTGCTAAATATGTCTTCTTGTGACTGGAATGCTTTTCCAACCAAACGCTAGTAGCGTTCAACAGTGTAATGATGATGTTAATCTGCCATAACTGCTGTGGAAATCGATGAAAAACAAATGAAGCTGGTACATCCTCTTCCTGATGTATCAGCCAACACACACTGTCAAAGTCCATGACGGATACAACCTACGGTTAACTTTACCTTCAAGGCTTTTTATACACAGCTCTAGTTTGCATTGTAACTGCAGAAACGTGTACATGTAACATGAGTTACTGCAGACAACATAAGTATTAGGTGGATTGAGATAATGATGATGGCTTCAAAGGCTTGATGTGCAAATGACAAGAAAAGGTTTTCCAGAATTCTTCATTTGTATCCATCAGACTTTGCTATACGGTTCATGTAGAGGCACATTTAAAATGTGCATTCATCTGAACTTCTTCAGAGGAATAAATAGCTGAGGCAAATCCAGCCAAGAGACATGTCGTGTTTGTTTCTGGATCACATTTCCAGACGGCCGTCCATCTCCACTCAGAGCTGGTCGCAGGTGGACATTTGGCTGAGAGTGTGTCATATTTCAACACACAGGGCTGCAAAGTTTACTGATGTGTTTGTTGAATTACACAAGTAAAACCAACTAAATGAAACCTTAGCTAAATATTCTATGCTCACACCACATTGGTTAGGACACATGGTGACACTAAAGAAAGGGACTGGAGGACTGGCTTTGCACGGACTCAAATGTAACTTAGAAGTTACCTGTTGTTTTTCCCACTTGGCTGAAAAGAGTTGCTTGAATCAATGTGGCATTGACCAAAAGGGAAATAAAAGGTGTAAGATGGTCCCTCACTCGACACAGTCCGGTGCAATACACAACAATATACACAAGACAGGTCCATATTCAGACAAATTTAAAAAATGAAAATGAGCTAGTACCAATATGAACAACATCACAAGCGTTATCAATTCTGTTTGTTTTAATATCAACATTTTTATTGTTATTGGTAATAGAAGTATTGTGCTGTTGTACTTTTACTGACTTATTAAACTAACCTGGAAAAGACGGGATAAGGGAAGTGACCGTCTGCAGGTCACAGTCAGACTCAGACGTGAAGAGTTTAGGGTGTGTATTAAAATGTGTTTTAGTGTCCGTGGACTGGGTTTTTTAGAATTGTCAGTGTTTGCTTTTAGAAAACTTTTTATCTGTCTCAGGCCAGGTGATCAGTAGTGTGTAGTAGTGTGGTTGTGTGGTACATCATGAGAAGCTCCAACACAGATTATTAATGTCATAAATAGTTTCTTAAGCAGGCTGGAAGGCTGCAGCCATAAGCGACCGACTATCTCTGTCCAGACAGAAATCGAACTAAAACCTGATCCTGCCACACAATCCGCCAGAGAGTGGAATAATGTGAGTGAGCTGTTGTTTTCACTCAAAGAGAACACTCGGACATGAACACTGGGTGGTGTTTTCTGGTGGTCCTCTCCGTCCTCCGACACTCTTTTGCCTCACCTACATGGCCACTGCACCGAGATGTTGCACAGAGCCGTCAGCTGCCGTTTAACAGTCAACGTGTTTGATTCACATCTGCAAATCCATCAGATCCACTGCTCTACCACACATGTAGCATGTATGGTGACAAAGAGTCCAAACAATCATTTAAATGCTAAGTCTTCCTCTTGTAAGTGCAGCGTGTGTCTCACACACATTTTACTGATCAGCTCATGTTCAGTATTCTATAGCATCCGTTTGACACGAGAGTTACTCAGTTCAACACGTCCCAATCCTGGACAACACCTTCAGATCATAGCCTCCCTCCACAGTGGAGATAAGAGCCACCTTCAATTCTGTAGTTAAAAAAATACAAATTCTGTACTAAGGACCTTGATATTTGACACAGTTGAGAGAGAATAAACAGAAATGCTGGACAGAATTTGCAGTAAACACAGAGAGCATGCTAGCTAGGATAATTTTAAGTGTGGGGAATTTTATATTTACAGCCCAGTTTACTAAAATTGTAAACTATTAGTTTTTCTCCTCTGATCCAGCTACAGAAGGTTTCTATACCATCATGCCTCAGTCTTGCCTTTCAAAGCAAATAATTCCTTACAAGTGAACGCAGTGGGTACCAAATCTGAATTCCTCCAAAACCTCAGTAGACCAACCACATCAGCTGCCTCCGTCAGAGACAGCATCACAGGACATTCCTTGTACTCAGATGTTGCCGGCACGGCTCTGTCTCTCTAAAAAAAGCCTGCCTTCATGGAGGAACTCTGGTACTGCCACATACTCCAGCAAACACACACTTCTCTGATGGCTCAGAGCACTTCTCTGCCACTGCAATCAATCATCAGACATGTAAGATCTAGCACAATTTTGATTTGCTCAGAGGTTTTGGTTCGTTTCCTGAAGTCATTGACAGTGTTCGTTTGAACCTGGCCGCCCTGAAACCTACAGCGGCTCACGCATTAAAGCCCAGAGCAGCTAATGAGAGCCTTTCACTGCCAGCACTACTGGGCAGATCTCTGGACACAAGTTAGAAATGTTTCTAAATGTTTTTGTAAAGATGTACAGAGATGTCTTCTCTCTGCCAGAGTAAAGGTTAAACATATCAGCTTTAGATTTCTACAGTTTTTCCCAGTTTTTTCCAGCTTTCTTGTGACAATGTACAATCCTCACCAAAAACTGTCGGTGGCATTTAATTCTGCGTGCTCCTGAGAACTGGAATAAAATGTCATGAAACATTATGTGATGAAATTACGCCCAGACTCATCGCATGGACTTTGGAAAACCTCTAGGCAGCTGCACATGTAGTAGTTAGAAGATATTTCCAGAAACAGACTAATCTTACAGGATGAGTTTGAAATGGCATGAGACACAAAAAGCCAAGGACCTCTGTGACCCATAATCACAGACCCCGCTGTCATCCTGTATATTTAACTTTCCTCTTTACAGTTCTGTAGGCTGGTTACTTGCGAGCAAACCAGACCCGTACAATGGAAACTTCATATTTGAAAAAGACAAGCAGAAACAGAGAGGACAGAACCAAAAGTGCTCCATATGCTTCAGCGATTACCTCCCACATAAGCTGAGTTTTATCCGCTTCCATAAAACAGGCTGAGATCTTGTTAGCGTGTTCAGACCGACCGTCTCTGATATCCCAGCACAGGACAGCACGTGCACTAAAGCAGCAGGACGGCGGCCTTACCTTCCCCTCTCAGCAGCTGGACGGCTGGTGGATGGATGTCCCCCTGAAGGTGAGCAGAGAGCTCCCTGAGCAGCAGCGTCCTGCCTGGGCTGGCAGAGGGAGGGGTGGGAGGGTCAGCCTCTGACACAACACACCACTGTGGATCCAGCGTGGGCACGCGCACACACACACACACACACACACAACCCAGGGAGAATCACATCTGGCATTTGGTCTGACCAGAATGTGAGAATGAATTCATAAGACTGAATCTCCATAACAATCAGCATCTCATGTTCATATGTAATGTGTGGAAAATGGTGACTGGTGATTTCAGGTGACAGAGCCATGTGCAGAAAACATTTATCAGTATACTCACACACACACATATATGTGTGTATCTATGTATATATTTGTATCTACAGTATATATTTCTCAGTATTTCAAATCTGTGGTGACCTGATGTTTTTCTTCTGACAGAAATTTGCACCTCCTCTGAGTTTTGTGTGTTTATTTTCACTGAAATAATCTGGCTGACTTTGACATATGTTGTTTTTTTAAAATCAGACAGGCTTTAAGAAGAATTTTGGTAAAACTGATGAAGCTCCCTTAATTATTTTCACATTAGCTTCATAAGTTGGCTCCATGTCACCTTCTGTGAAACATTTATACTTGATATATTTGATGAGCTTTGAAGGGAACATTTATTGAACTGTAAAAGTTGCAACTGTTTCTTACTCATAACGAATGTTATTTGGGGGAAAGCTCCCTGCTGTGCGTGAGATCCTCAGCAGGGACGTCGTGTTGGGCTGTGATGAGATGAGGGTTGCTGCTTTCAGCTGTGTGGAGCCCTGAGCTGCTACTGCCATCAGCTGGAGTAACACAGTATCATTTTCTGACTGTGAATGTCCAAATGTATATTTAAAAAAATCCTATCTAAAATGGAAACCGCAAAGTGCCCTAACCACCTGTCCAACCCGACCACACGTGACTGTCTTAAAGAGGAGCAGAGGTGAATCAGAAGTGTCTGTTAAACTAAGGATGACACCATCTGCTAATAAATGTCCATAATAAAGAGTTCATACTGCTCCCACAAAATGCTTTTTTATTTTTTAGATATGGTTTTAATTTACATCCCATGTCCACCTGAGAGTTCTGCCGATCGTCTCCACATAGACTGCACACAGTGACCGATTTTTTCCTATTTGGGACCATGACTATAAAATTGAATTGAGTTCAATTGAGACTGAATAAGTTACAGTGAGGGACTCGCCTTTAGCGTCACATCTGACATTTATGTCCAGTGTTGAGAATCAGTAAGGGATCCCATCTCCCTGTAACTGACAGGCCTGAGTGCATTGCAGGTAACGAAAAGTACAACAGCAAGTAGTGAGTCAATAAAGTTTAAAAAACCGTGACACAGATGAGAGAAGAAGTGGCATTAGAAGTGGTGGCTAAGTGGGAAACATTTTATCATCATTATCATTGTTAGTTACTGATAATTCCAAAAACTATAGAAGTGTCAAAAATGGTTGACTTTTCATTCCAGGTAACAGGTTACACCTATTAGTCATAACATCATGACCACAAAGCATCATTCTCAGATTCATCCAGTGCCACTTTTGCCTGTATCCAGGTACCCACGTGGATTTCACTCTGACATTTCAGCACACCAACACACACCCTGCATGCTGAACGGCATGTCGAGGAGCCCGAGGCGCCCCCTGACTTTCTGCATACGCTGGAGAAATGCATCTAACATTGTTGCTATTTAATGGCCATAAGAACATTAGGATCAATGATTTTTCAGATCCAAGCGCCTCAAGAAATTTCACAGCCCGGTTATTCAGAAAGCAGAGCTCCTGACAGATTTAGCATGGACATAAGATGTGCATTATGGAGTTAGGATTCCAGCACATTACTGATTTAATGGAAATAAAATAGAAGATAAGACTTCAGAGATGCCACTTAGTGTATTTTTGATAGAAACAGGACATCTGAAATCATTCGGACACACAGCAGACAGTGTATGATGTGAAACATCAAACTAGGAAATGTTACATAGGGCAGAGCTCTGTGACTGTCTGAAACACGGGGGAAGATACATTTTTAGATCTTGTTGATTTACTGCGGTAAACGCAACATTTGAACATGTGAATGCATTTTTAAATATTGAGAGACAGACTAAATACAGAAGATGTGTTTTTTTAAACTGCGTGCCGGTCCACACTCCACACCACACGGTGGCGGCAAAGCGGCGAGCCTGTCTTTTGTTAACTGCCAATAAACGTCGAGAAGAAGATGGACAAGTGGGACGAAGAAGAAAAAGAAGAAGAAGAAAAAGAACTAGCGGAAAAAACGCTTCTGGACTGTCGCCGCGTCGGATAATTCGTTCACATTAACTCACCGCGAAAAAAGCTGACAGTTAGGGTCTGTCTCCAGTATTACGAAACGGCATTCGCTGTCAATAATGTCTATGAGTCTATTGTTTACATGTTGAAGCCTCTCTTGTAACGCTGATAATGCTGAATATGAAGCTACCGATGAAAACGGGCGAGGACGGAGGGAACCAAGCGGCGGGGGACGAGTCCCTGGACCCGCCGGAGTCCCGGCCAGCGCCCGGGGCGGCGTCCCCCTTATCGGGGGACGATGGGCGGCAGGAGTCATCCAGATCTCGTGTGTTTGCGTCACAGCTGGAGAAGGAGAGTGTGTTTGAGTGGTTCGGCCTGCATCTAAACCCTGCTAAGCGGATTGAGTTCATGTGCGGGCTACTACATATGTGCCAACCCTTGGAGCTCCGTTTTTTTGGATCTTATTTAGAGGATCTTGCTAGAAAGGACTATTATGTTTTACGGGATTTTGAGTGTCGAGCGAACAACCCGAACGAGCTGGGGGTCTTAACGGACGTGGTTGACCCGGTGGTTCGGTCCAAACTCCTGGTCTGCCTGTCCCTCCTCGGCTCTGACAGCAGGGAATGTGCTGGAATACTCTCTCGGATATTGAGCAGCGTAGATCTGGCTTTGTTCTACAGAAACTACGACTACCCCCTTCCTCCGTTCAGGGACCAGCACCCCGCTCTCTACCCTCCGTGTCAGGACGTGAACGTGTTCGGGCGGCCGGAGCAGGGCGAGCCGGCGGCGGGAGCCCTGGAGCAGCTGGCGCTGCTCTTCACTATGGCCTCGCTGCACCCAGCTTTCCACTTCCACCAGCGGGAAGTTGTTCTGGAGCAACTTGACAAGATAGAGCTGGTCTTGGAGGAAGACAGACGGCAGAGGCAACTTAGGAAAAACGCCCAGGTTAAGGTAATGAGCGAGGAATAGACATTCAGGACTTTTTAAAATACTCCTAGTGGACAAACTTCAACCAGCGTTTTTAAGACGACAGCCTAACATAGTAGGACGAAAATATACGCACATTTCACACATATACCTATGTAATGTGTCAAAGTTAGTTTTAAATGATGTGTTTCCCAATAATCCTGCGACCAGTACCAGAAAAGGTAGTTTTATGGCAGCTGCACAGCCACCAGTGGCTCCTGCTAACAGGCTAAGCTAACAGTTAGCCCGCAGCTAAAGCGGCTAGCCCCGCACGCGCAGCTGTCCGGGCCAGCGCTGACCTCTGGAGCCCCTCTGACCTCTCATTCTTTAGAGCTATCGGCTGCTGCGATCATATGCAGTGGGGATAATGGTCCCGCTCCGTGGGTGCGGACTGGTTTTACTTGTATCCTGAATGTCCAGCTGGTCGGTGTCTGATAAACAAGCCGCTGGTGCGGAGGATTTCCACCTGGAAGCGAGGTGGTGTTTATGGGGAAACCGACTCCTGTTGCTCAATTCCAGTCTGTATGTGCGTTATAATAGTACTTAAACGGGCCTGATCGCCTCACACATTCTGACTTTTAGCACAAAACCAAGACCTGATTCCACAGGTTTCCCTTAGTGTAGTTCCTCCGCCCAAAAGTAAATCCAACAATAAGTCACGCAATAGAAAAATGACTGGCACACCTTTGGCATATTTATGAGTTTTATGGCTTCTGATTTTTAGTTTTTTCAACATTTATTTACAAGAAGGGATGGAGGTTTTTGTGGGACCCAGATCAGCCATTGGAGTGTCCGGTCTGTGTTCTGGTGGTGAGGACTCCAGGGTAGCTGTCCATAAGTCCTTAACAGTAGGAACACATTTAGTTCAAATAAAGCAATAAGGAAAATATTAATTCCCAACAGGCATGCACCTCCCACCCAATAGATGGAAATTACATGCTCAGCTACTTTTTTATGGCCCAAAGCTGACTGGAATATCAGAAGTATCAAAGTTTAATTGTAAGTAACATTATAATCCTGTTAAGACTAACAAAACCCAAACTCCGGTATTTAAAATCCAGATTTGGACACAACAGGGAGCCTGGATGGAGGTAATGGGAGACAGAAGAGTGGGAAAGACCTGTTCCAATCAAAGTAAACCTGGTTCCATACAGCAAAGGCCCAGAACTGAAGATCTCTACTTGACTGAAGCATCTAGCAGTGGTTGAAAGTAGCTACGTGTAATACTGAAGTTTTAACTTAGTACTGGAGGTAGAAAAGGAGTAAAGGGGTTAGAAAGGGGTACTGATTAGGCCCGAGAAGGCTGTGACCACTGACTGAAGGTTTTACAGAAGAGCTGTTGCTTAGTGTCTCCAGGTGTGCTCTAAAGGGGGAAATGACTTATCTGCATTCTTGGTAGCAGAAGTGATTCGTCAGCCTCCTGCTATCAGATCCACACATGGCCTATTTTGGGATGTTATCAGTTGAGTGATGGCTGAAAGCGTTCATTTAATCTGATAGACACGACATGTCCCTTTCTGCAGTTATTGCAAGAAACAGTTAATAAACAACACCACCTGAAAAACTGGGCCAGTTGACATCCGACAGTGTCCCAGTTAGGAGGAGTGATCGAGTCCGAGCCTGGCCTGGTGAAGACAGCTCGAGCCAAAGTCCCATATTCCATTTTTAGAGCAAGGTGCTGCCTGTGGGCTGCCTGGCTGTCAGAGGGGGGAGCGGGCTGAGCCGGAGCTGCACCCCCACACATCGCTTTGATGGCCAGGTGGCCACATTTAGGTCTCCTTTCCGTATTTACTGTTGTGAGGATATTTTTCCTGGTATGATGTCAGCTTCTCAGTATTTTGTTGACATTTGTTGACCAACTTTATTTCAGGTAATCACAGATTCATATGTTTACTTTGTTCCCAGCAGATCATGGTTATCTTAAGATATATGTTATGCAAATATTCCCATTTCCAACAGGGAGCATCCTCAATAGTTTTTGGGAAAATCAATGTAAAACACTTGAGTGTTGATTTTATTTATTTAAAATGGAACAATAATTTTCCCCCTGTTATTTAAAGGTATCTGAATGTTTATTGACTAATGTGAGCCAGTAACAAAGCTGCTGTCCTTGTGGTCTCCAGGAGCTGAAGGGACAGCAGGGGGCCTACCGGCCCTCCTCAGCAGCCGGTTTGGGAGAGTACGCGTCCACACACCCTCCTGTGCAGAGCCGGCGCTCCAGCCGCTGGGCCACGCAGAGAGAAGGTGAGTGGAAACAGGTCCCTCTGCATTCAGAGCAAATTAAGCCTCAGACAATCATACACTTGTGACACACGTCACTCAGACTGAAATACTTCTTTAATAGGGTTGACAGAAATATGTCGGTAGATAGGATACTTGTTTGTTATTGTTGTTTTCATAGTTGCATTTTCAGTTTTACTCGTGAACGTTGTCAGGCTGATTAATAACGACGTAAATCAAACCTTCTTTTTTTACAGCAGTTCATATTGAGGGAATTGTACTCAGGGGGATTTCTTGGACTGGAGCAGACAAGGAATACAACTTTGAGGTAACTGACAGTACACAGCAGCTCACAGAGGATGTCACTGGACCTACATACTGATACTCTGACTGCCGAGGCCCTTACCGCCACTTGATCCACCTGCATGGCTCTCAGCAGCCAGCAGACAGAAAGTCTGCTCTTTTCCCGTGCACGGCATGTAGAATCCAGAAGTGGCGCTAACTCTTGGTGCAGTGCTGATGAGAGAAAGAAGCACGTTGTCTGGAGTTCCTGGGGATAACCCACACTTGTTTTCATGTGTTTTATTTTCTGGTAGAAGTAGAGAGCTCTGTTCTTTAAATCACAGCATCCCCATTAACAACATTTCCCCCATGAGCAGCTTGTATTTAGTTGGAGGTTTTTGCTCACTTCAAACCCAATCCCATCATAACATCAATGTATGGTTTTAGATTTGGATATAAGAGTGTATTAGAAAAGAGAGAAAGTCTTTAGTGTTACTAAACATGCTGGTCAGTAACATGCTTGAACCCCTGGGCACGTGCACATGCCATAAGTCAGAAAAGTGTTTGGCCCAGTGGTGTACGAGTATCTCTGGATGGCAGCAGATGTCTGAGAACAGCTTATTGCTGTCCAAACTGCTAAACTGACACATCTTATCCTACGACCATCCTAAAACCACACGAGTGGTTTTTAACTTTGTGGCACACGTGGAGGCTGTTGATTGAAAGTGAGACAGTTCAGAGACAGTACCTTCACACTGAAGCAGGAACACCACAGCGGGTAGTAGCTGAGATGTCTGGTCAGGCAGGACAGGAGCAGATCTCATCTTTAACTGGTACAGTTTGGCTAGCTGTGTGCGTCTAGATGACTACAGGGCTGTTTTCAGTTAATTTCCTCTCTTTTTCACCCACTTAGTTGCCAGGCTTTACGTCTTCCACTTTCCTTCACACCGTGTGAGAGTGTAGCAGCTTGTTTGGCAGATAGTTGCACATAATGAGTTCCCTCCAACACAAACGCAGGGACTGTGATGTTGTGAATTTACACACAGAAAATCATGCAGCCAGTGGGTGTGACTAAGCCCTGGCAGTCCAGCCACCCTCACTCTGTGTTCGTACTAAAGCAGCTGGTGAGAAAACTCCCTCTGGGAGGGGTAGTGGCTGTTTGCCATGATTGTGTACCTTTAGTTTTAACTGGAGGAGCAGCACCTCTCCAACACAGGCACAATCTCTCACTGGTGTTCCATTTTGTTGCTTTGATCAGCAGAAACCAAAAGCAGCATAATCATATTCAAGTTTCCCACTGTGTCCTATGCATGTTACCCTGGAGAAGAATCCCCCCCCCCCCATGCAAACGGGAATATAACAGTGGCCCAGAAGGCTGTACAGAAGAATAGTTACAGTTATAAGGAAGTAAAAGTCATTAAAAGCTAAAGGTCTATCCATTGTCTATGCTGCTTATCACTAGTAGGGTGGTGGGGGGGCTGGAGCCTCTTCCAGCTGCCATTTGTTGAGAGGTGGGTACAATGTAAACAGGTGGCTAATCAGTAGGAAACAACATGAATGAAAAAATTAAATGAAAGTAAAATGCATAAAAAAGTGTCAAACCACCAGATGGAGGAGGTTTTTCCAAGAGGCTTAAAGATGGACAATGAGGAGGCCAGTGTGATGGGCAGACAGGTCCTTCCTCAGGCTGGGGCCAGAAACGGCAGAGGCCCCCTCCCCTCTGAGCATTTACTTTGGTGTTGACACGCTGAAAAGCAGCTGATCCGGGTGAGCTGTGTAAGAGTCCAGGAGCTCAGAGAGGTAGGGTGGCACAAGAGCCAGTAAATGAAATGTGTTTCAGATGGATTCTGAAACCAATGGCCAACCGGGGGGAGACTAAAACAGGAGAAATGTGTTTGTCTGTCAGGTCAAATTCCCACAGCAGCAGTTTGTTCCAGCTGAAGATGAGCATGGGGGGGCACTAGCCCCCAGTACAATCCATTACGCTCTGTAGGCATCCATTACTGTCTCAAAACGCGGCCTTACAACAACTTTGGCAGAGCCCTATAATTTGACCGTCACAGCAGTATCAAACGCTGCAGATAAACACAGAAGCAACAAAACATCCCCACGCTCTGCAGAGATAATTACAAGAGCAGATTCTGTGCTGTGGTGGGTTTTAAAACCAGACCAGAAACCAGAGTGACGGTTATACTCCTTCAGAAAGGCCAGCAGATGAGTGCAAAGTGCATTTTAGAAAGAAAAATTCTGTACACGACTGTAATTCCCAACACTGGATTCCAGACCAGTGGTTACATATGCTGCATATCTACCATCTCCTTTGACCACATCTGTGGACAGACCGCTAGGGATAACTGTTAGAACACATGACCTAGAGTTAGGAAGACTAGCTTAGCTAGTGCAGCCGGCCTCTTCCTGTTCCTCTGCCGGAGCCCGGTTCTTTTTCAGTGGTGTGATGGCTGTCGCACCAACCTGCACACGGGAAACCTTTCAGGTTCAGATGGATGTCATCAACTAGAAGTTCTGGACACTGAGGACTCTTTTTAGTGCTTTTTGTTTTGGTGTGTGCTTCCTCTTCCGGCATCACAGTGTGTGTTAATGGGGACTGTCTCTGCTGTGTTCCAGGTGAAGTGGTCAGACTCTTCATCCAGCCACGTGACCAAAACCCACCACGAACTGGAGAACTTTCTTCTGAAGGTACCTTCTTCAGCAAACGTCCCGACTGAGCTGTGGATGCTTTAGTGTGTGTGTTGAGCCTCTGCGTGTGTGAGCCCCCTGAAGCAGCTGGGGTCGTAACATGTTTAAAAGCTAGCGTTCAATTGTTTTCACATTTCTTCACTATTTTTTTCACTCCAGAGCCCTGAAAGGTGAATCCATTTGATAGAATGTTTGCTGACTTTCCATCCAAGGTGAAGTAAAGCTGCTGTTTTTCTTCCCCGCTGTTGTGTGCAGCTTCCCAAGGATCAGTGCACGGAGTCTTTTGAGAGAAGCATCCTTAAACTTCTGAACCAAGGGGACCAGCTTGAGAGCAAGGAGGTGGAGAAGAACCTGAGGTACTTTCCCTGTGACCGGCTCATTCAGGAAGGCTTTCATTCATGTCTCCTTGGACTAGGTTCTTTTGGACATCTTCACAGTAGAAATGATTGAAGGAGGTGACCTCTGGCAGTGAAGGAGGAGCTGTGGTCTCTGTGGTCCTTTGATTCTTTTCTGGGGATTGGAGCACAACTCCTGGCTCTATTTTATTGAAACATTTCCTGTTTGTCATAAATTCACCCCCCACCCACTGGGCAGTAGTCCAGATGCCTTTACAAAGTATTTTAGGGCCATTTAATTTAGCCTGCAGCATTTAATAGAAAAACATCACAAATAAAGAACTGGTAGTGCAGAACTATTTTCTTCTTTGTATTGGGGAGGCAGTTATTTTCCTGGTTTTGAAAGAATAGTTGTAATGATTCCTTGGAGGGTATAAACAGGAAGTGTTACATCACCCTGACCGTGGAGCCGTGTGCTCCCTCAGCCTGCTGTTGTTTACTCCTGGGCTTGTTTGCAGACCCCAGTAATGGTTGGATTTGGCTGTGCAGAAAAAAGCAGCTTTCTGAATCTTTTAATGATGGACAGTCCTATCATCTTATCTTCTGGTGTATTTAGACCAATCGATTTAAGGTCTGTAGCCTGTTCTGTACAGGGGCTAAACGTTTTGTTCAGACCTGTTTTAGGGTACAGGTGGATTTCTTTTGGTCTCAGAGTAGCCAAACCAGGCTGCCTGCCTCGCTTTGATTGGAAAAACCTTTACTTCATTTTAAGTGCACTTTAGAATGTGATAGAGAGATCTAATGGTTTTCCTCAGCTGCTCCGGATGCCCCTTGGCTCCTTGTCCCTGGATCCTCTTAAAGCAGTGTGCTGTCTCCTCAGCTGAGGCTGAAGGCAGCGCTCATCAACCTCACGACTGAGGCAGAAATGTCCTTCATCCTTAGATCAGCGTGGAACGTTCCACACAGCTGAGCCAACACTCTGTCTCCTAACCTGTCCTTCCAGCAGGAGGCCAGCAGGTGTCAGGCATGCTGCAGTCTGAAACACGCCTCATTCACACTGCACTCTTCAGTTTCATTTAGGCAGAAATGAAAGCTAGCTCCAGGTTTTTCCCCCTGAGTGTGTGTCACTGCTCGGCTTCCGTAGGCGGGTCTCCCTCAGGAAAGCATTTTGCCCTTGCTGTGTGTTAGGTTTTACATTCAGGAGAAAAACTGCAGTTGGATTGTGTCTTCTCTTTGCACCCCCAGAGAACAGTTCCTGTCAGCTCCTCCGCTTTTCAGACAGACCAGAAAGGTGTGCAGCTTCTTCACCTGTGATTCCAGTTACCCCTCCAAAGCTGCCTGCTGTAGATGTGAGTATCAGGCTTCACAACAGGGACATGTCAGGCTTTAAGCACCTTCAGGTGAAACCAGCAGCCGTCCCCATTAGTCACTGTCCACACACACACGCACACACACACACACACGCACACACACACACACACACACATACACACACACAGAGCCCAGTGTGTGCATCCAACCACATATACCAGTGATGCACTGAGCCACAAATGCTGAACACAGGGACTCTGTCCCTTGATTTTCTATGTGCTTTTTAAATGTGATCATTTATCCCTGTTGAACGCTGTTGTTATTCTTCTGTTCAAAGGCAACTGCCAGCCAGGGATGGCCTACCAACGGGACTGCTCCGATGCCTCCAGTCAGGACGAAGGTGAGGATAGCCGCCACTCTTTTCCCACAGCGGTGCCTTTTTCCTCCCAGGTGTGCACGGAAGAGAAAAGGGGCCTAAAGAATTACACAGATCTTTATCTTTTTGGTTGGTTTTTAGAAAAATCTGGTTTCAGTCCTCATTTTTCTTGGCTGTATTTGCTCCAGCTTGTGCTGAATGAGTGCTTCAGTTATTTGTGATCATACTAGTTTGATAGGCTGATTATTTATTTTTTCATGAGTTCAGCTTTGTATTTTTAAGAAGCTTTATAGCAGAAAATGTAGACCTTGTACTTTTAGTGTAGCTCAGCCTTTGGCAACAACAGGGCAGCAAGGCCAGCTTTTTGAATCTCCCATTTCTTCACTATCAAGTCTTTACTATTCCTCAACAGTCAAACTTGTTTTTTCCCTTCAGAGTCCTATGTTCAGGGACACAAGAAAAAGCACGGGTCCAAGAGTCCATGTCAGCTGTGAGTAACCTCTGGGCCTTCCTCCAGTCTCCTAGTGATCGGATTATTTAAAGACTCATTATTAGTGAGGACACTGCCAGAAAAGTAGAATTGCCTGCAGCATCTCTGTATCTCTCCTGCCAGTTTGCCTAATGCCAAAGGCCTTCAGGGGGACCCACAGAGGAGGGGGGGCCATGCTGCAGAGCCCAATGGTCCTGCAGACAGACGGAAGAAAGGCTGCATTCTGCGGAGCGGCCAGGAGGCTGACCAGGTGAGAGACGGGTCAGAATGTGTCCCTCCCTGCCGGTCCCGTCCGAGGACGGTCAGGACGCTGGGTGGGGGGGGGCTGTGGAGGTGAAACTGGTCAATAATGGGAGCTTTAGGGCAGTGAAGTTGTCTGGGAGGGCATCCGTTTGAAGGAATGACGGAAATGAAAACATGCCCCATGAAAGCAAAGTGAGCTCAGTGTTTCAGAAAGAGGGGAGGCCTGCCTGGTCAGAGCCGGCTGGTCCAGCGGGGGCCGGACACACGCCCAGTGTCCTGCAGCACAGCTCAGGTTCTCCTCATGTGTCACCACTCTGATTCCTGCATTCTCTGAAGACCTAGGGTCTTTACACAAACAAACAAATACCATCCTCTCTCAGGCTGTTCTTCATGTTCACAACCACACTGCTCGATCCTTTCATTCATTCATTAATTCTTTCATTCATTCATTCATTCATTCATATGAATACGTATCCTGTCATGTCTTGCAGCAGCTGGACTCAGAGAAAAGAAGTCACAAGGTTTCTAAGATGAAGAGCAGAGTCCTGCCCACAGACAGGTAGGTAGACATGGCCAGCTGAGGGAGACACACACACACACACACACACACACACACACACACACACACACACACA